AATAATCTTAAAAAATACGAACAAAGAAGACTCAATAATTCCTGACTTCTAAACTTAATACAAATCTACAGTCATCAAGACTGTAGTACTGGCATAAGTGTAGACATATAAATGGAATAGAATTTAGAGTCCATAAATAAAACTATACATCTATGGTCTATTGATTCTGACAAGGGCACCAAGACATTCCATGAGGAAATAATAGTGTTTTCCACACATGGTAATGACACAACTATATAGCCTAATGTAAAATTTGGATTCCTATCTTACCTCTTATACAAAATTTAACTCAAAATGCACCAAACACCTAAAAGTAAGAACTAAAAATATAAAACAGAAAAAATCATAGGTATAAACCTTGTGGACTTGAATTAGGCAATGGTCCCTTAGAAATGACACAAAAAGCACAAGAAACCAAGGGGAACATAGATATACTAGACAATCAAATTTTAAAACTTTTGTGCATCAAAGAACACTATCAAGAAAAGGGGAGGAAAGGGTTTTAATTTTTTTGTCCTCTCAGCAGGACACTATATGTGCTGATGGCAGCTGCCAGTGAGGGACAATGGCAGATATTCTTTTGAGCAGTCTGGGGTCTGGAGGAACATCTCTGCTTTACTCAGCCCAGGAGAAGCTGCACTTTTGCCATTACTCTCAACAGGGGCAACATCAGCAGCCAAATGAGCTGCCTTTTTATATGACCCCCAAGAGACATCCCTGGGGCATTTCCTCTTGGGAACTGCTGTGGAGAATTCCTAGCTCTAGGAAGCTTATATTTACTATTTGCCATGTGTAATCTGTGAGTATTCATATCACTATACTGAGTTACTACACCTACTTATTTTTGTTATTATGTTGCTATCCACTGTGTTTCCTATTTATATCAGTGGTTTTTGTTACTTTTTCCTACATGCCATCTCAAAACATCCCAAGTAAGCTGTGATGTCACTACAGAACATTCCTCCAAATGACCCTAGTATAAAACACAAAATATTATTGTGAACATAAATATCTCACAGTGATGTTGGTCTATCATCATGTGATATACCCAGGAGAGAATGATAGATATATTGTGAACAATTAGGATAATAAATATGGATACATAATTTCTTTTTGCCTTAGGAGAGTATAGTCATTTGTTAATTAAACACTCAATTTAACCTTGTCTAGTGAACCAACATTAGGTTCTCAAGTCTGGCTTTACAATGTCCCATTGTTCTAGGATTCTACATAAAAAATTTGAGAAAACTGTTGGGGAACCTGGGTGGTTAAGTTGGCTAAGCATCCAACTTTGGCTCAGGTCATATGATCTTGTGGTCCATGAGTTCAAGCCCCACATCAGGTTCTGTGCTGATACCTCAGAGCCTGGAGCCTGCTTCAGACTCTGTGTTTCCCTCTCTCTCTCACCCTCCCCCACTTGTTCTCTCTCTCTCTCTTTCAAAAATAATAAATAAACATTTAAAAATTTTAAAATTGAGAAGACTGTGAATAAGAAGCATGGGGTGGAACTCCTACACTGTTGGTGGGAATGTAAACTGGTACAGCTCCTCTGTAAAACAGTGTGCAGGTTCCTCAGGAAACTAACAATAGAACTCCCCTATGACCCAGCAATAGCACTGCTAGGAATTTACCCAAGGGATACAGAAATGCTGAGGCATAGGAGCACATGGACCCCAATGTTCATAGCAGCACTCTCCACAATAGCTAAAACATGGAAAGAGCCTAAGTGTCCATCAACAGATGAATGGATCATGAAGATGTGGTTTATCTATACCATGGAATACTCCATGGCAATGAGAAACAATGAAATCTGGCCATGTGTAGCAACATGGATGGACCTTGAGGGTGTTATGCTGAGCGAAATAAGTCAGGCAGAGAAGGACAAATATCATATGTGTGCACGTAGAGGAGGACTAGGAGGAACTTAACAGAGGACCAACCGGGAGAAGAAGGGGGGAAATGGTGGGGGAAAGGGAGAGAGGCAAACCATGAGAGACTCTTGAATGCTGACAAAAACTGAGGACTGATGGATGTGGCGGGGAGGAGGGATGGGCATGGAGGAGGGCACTTGTGGGGATGAGCACTGGGTGTTATGTGGAAACTAATTTGACAATAAACTATTTGTAAAAAAAAAAATAAAAAAAATTTAAAAAAAAGATTCCCTATAAAAAAAAAAGAAGCATGGGGTGGAAAAATGAAGACTTTTAACACTTATCTAGGTGATAAGCTAATATGAATCTCAGAAAAATAGCCAGTGGATTTTTTTCCATTGATAAATCTGGTGCATAATTATGTCTACTTGCTACTAGCATAGCCAGGGAGCAAAAGGAAGCCCCTATTACTAATATCCATAATTCAACAGAAATGGACCTTGAGGAAATTATAAATCCATCAGGGTCACCTTCCCTCTCGTGCCAAAAAGTCACACACTGGATGCCCCGACTACCTTAAGCAGTTCTAGTATTAAAAGAGAAAGTATTTAAAATGTCTCCAGAGGGGCGCCTGGGTGGCTCAGTTGGTTAAGCGTCCGACTTTGGCTCAGGTCATGATCTCACGGTTCGTGGGTTCGAGCCCCATGTCGGGCTCTGTGCTGACAGCTAGCTCAGAGCCTGGAGCCTGCTTCAGATCCTGTGTCTCCCTTCCTCTCTGACCCTCACACTGTCTCCTCTCTCTCTGTCTCTGTCTCTTTCTCTCTCTCTCTCTGTCTCTCTCAGAAATAAATAAAAAAAAATTTTTTTAATGTCTCCAGAGCAAGAAGTACCTTCTTCATGGATCTGGAATAAGCTCATTCTGGCTTCTGGTTACACTGTACATCATGACAGAGCACTGATCCCACTGTAACAACTACAAAAAATCAGATGGTCAAAGAAAGTAACATATTTTTAAAGGACATTTGAGAGTTCTGCATGTAATGAAGTCTAAAGTAACTAAATTCCACAGAGAGAGAAGCACATACCAGTGGCCATTGTCCTCTCTGGTGAGGATTGGCTTGGAAGTGAGAGAATTGGGTCAGTCATTGGCTTAAAAAACTGCTGCGATAAGGTTCTGATAATGACTGTGTGGCCTGGGTAGACAGATTGAAATCTGTAGAAGCCCCAAATGCATAGCTAGTTCTCCCAATTTATGGATTCTCTCAGTAGGTTTTTAAAATACATAGTGATATAAATAATATGGCAAATTAGTGTCTCTACCAGAGTTGGGGGTGAGGGAGAAAGTGGGAGTTAAGTCTGCAAAAGCAGAGAGTTATACATTGTCATCTCAGTCACTCCTTGTGTTTCTCAGGAAAACAGTTCTAATGTTGCCCTTCACATCCTCTTTGTCCTCAGGGGTCAGACATGAGACCACTGAGGTGGCTGCAACAACCAGCCTGCTTACCAATACCAATGCTTGCCTCACCACATCCTTCTATTCCTACATCTTTGTGTCCATTACTGAAAGATTTCCATGTGTCCAGTCTGAGGGTAAACCTCCATGAGTATGCTGCAAGAAGAGTGTTCTTTGTTTTTTAAAGTTTATTTATTTGAGAGGGACAGAGACAGTGTGAGTGGGGAAAGGGCAGAGAAAGAGGGAAAGAGAGAATCGCAAGCAGTCTCTGTGCTGTGGCATGATGCGGGGCTTGAACTCATGAGACCATGAGCTGAAACCAAGAGTGAGACGCCTAACCAAATACGCCACCGAGGTGCCCCTCAAGAGTGTTCTCATTGTCCAGTTTACAGATGTTGGAAAGAAATTCTCAGTAATTTGTGAAAGGCTACCCAGCCACCAAGTGAATTCAGCTTTGCCTGATTCCAAAGCCCACAGTTTCCAATGCAGGGCCTTCCTAAGAGGTGAGATCTGGTTTTGCAGCATAAGAAGCTGTAATTAGGCCTTTGATTTAGGAACAGTCAGCCTGTGTCTGTTATTGATGTTTCTGGCATGATGCGGTTAACCTGTTAATGCAAAGTGGCACTAGGGACAGTAGCACCTAGCTAACCGACTCCCATTTTCCAGGTCCCACTCACAACCATTGTATTTTCTACTAGCTTACCCCCACCTTACCTTCCCACACCCCTGTTAAACCATTTTGTAGCTGGAGGGCCAGCGGGTGTGCCTGTTGCTTCTGGAGGCTCCAAGCCTTGTCACATCAAACCCTCACCAAGCAGGTCAGGTTGCCACGGCAACACGGATGCCTCCTCTCCCGCTGCTCTCCTGATCCAGGCATTTGCCCTGCACTGAGATACCGAGATCTTGCTCCCTCATCTACCTGGGGCTTCTGGAAACACCGGGAAGCCCACGTGGCCTCAGTACCGAGGACTTGGAAGACCCGCTGGACTGTACGGTCCTGGGCAGTGCAGCTGAGGTGCATTCTTCTGTTCCTCTCGCCCCAGGGCTTTGAGGTGGTCTCCAGAATCGCCTCGCAGCCCGCAGGCAGCGTGTCCCTGTCCGGCACCGCCTTCAGAGTCAGAGAAAGTGAGCCGGAGACTAGGGGCTTTGCTGGAACTAGTACTGAGCACCTTGGCTAAGGGCTGGATGTCTGCCAAGGCAGGCAGTGGGGGGCAGGAGGCGGATCCCAGTCGGCGCTGGAGGGGAGGGTGGAAAGAGCTCCTGACTGCGGAGGGCGGCTCCAGTTGCAGAGGGGCAGGTGCTGGTGGGAGAGGGCGGGACCCGGTGTCTAGGTTGCCTGGGCAGAGCAGGGGTGCCCTGGGTCCAGCCCTAAGAATGAGAGGAGGATGGGGGGGGGGGGCTTCTGGCTGTGGGGCTGAGGAAGGGAGGGCTCCCTGCTGCGGGGTTGCAGACGATGGTGGGAGGGGCTCCGGCTGCAGTGGCCCGAGCAGGGGTGTCGGCCAAGGCGAAACAGGATCTCCACATTGCAGAGGTGAGGCTGCCTGGTGGGGGATGAGAGCCGCGGCAAGGAGGACGTGAACTGGCCAGGGAGGAGACTCAGGTCGCCGTGGGGGGCGGTGGGGTGGTCTATCTGGCACCAATATCCCTCTCTCCCCTTCGCACCCACTGGCCGCCACTGCAGAGACTGCGACAGTCTGCGCACCCCTGTGCGATCGCGCCCCCTCCCCCGCAAGTATTCGCGACGGCACTGGCAATGCTGCCTGACTGGTGCAGGTGGATGGGCGTGGACGCGCACCATTCGCATTCGCTGCTCATCCTGGGCATTCCCGACGGCTGTGAGGACCAGGAATTCCAGGAGGCCTTGCAGGCTGCCCTACGGCCCCTGGGCACACACCGAGTGCTGGGCAAGGTTTTCAGAAAGGAGCTCAGATGCAGGGTCGCTTTGGTCGAGTTTGCTCAGTATTTTTTTTTTAACAAATAGTTTATTGTCAAGTTGGTTTCCACATAACACCCAGTGCTCATCCCCACAAGTGCCCCTCTCAGTGCCCATCCCCCCTCCCCCCCACCCCCATCAGCCCTCAGTTTGTTCTCAGCATTCAAGAGTCTCTCATGGTTTGCCTCCTTCCTTCTCCCCAACTCTTTCCCCCTTCTTCTCCCTCATTGTCCTCCGTTAAGTTCCTCCTAATCCTCCGATACGTGCAAACATATGATATGTGTCCTTCTCTGCCTGACTTATTTCGCTCAGCATAACACCCTCAAGGTCCATCCATGTTGCTACACATGGCCAGGTTTCATTGTTTCTCATTGCCGTGTAGTATTCCATGGTATAGATAAACCACATCTTTTTGATCCATTCGTCCGTTGATGGACACGTAGGCTCTTTCCAGGTTTTGGCTATTGTTGAGAGCGCTGCTATGAACATTGGGGTCCATGTGCTCCTATGCATCAGCACTCCTGTGTCCCTTGGGTAAATTCCTAGCAGTGCTATTGCTGGGTCATAGGGGAGTTCTATCGTTAATTTTTTTGAGGAAGCTCCACACTGTTTTCCAGAGGGGCTGTATCAGTTTGCATTCCCACCAACAGTGTAGGAGGGGGCCCGTTTCTCCACATCCTCGCCAGCAAGTTTGCTCACTATTTAAACCGAAGTTTGGCTTCCCGACAAATACCAGGCAAGGGAGGGCCCTGGACTGTGGTCTTCCTGCCCCAGGCCCCAGAGTCAGAGTCACAGGATAGACCCAGTTTCCCTGCACAGGCCCAGAGGCAAGCAGGGTTTGGCCAGGCAGGTGCGGCAGAAGCTGGGGGTGAAGCAGGAGCTGGGAGTGAGGCAAGATCTGGGGGTGAGGCAGGAGCTGGGGTGAGGCAGGAGGAGGCCCCCAAGCGCTTCCCTGCCACTCAGGAAGATGAAAATGCTCCCACCTCTGCGGGCCCAGGTCAGGCAAGACCCTCAGAGGCGCCTGGGGGCCCCGGCCCTACCCAGAGGGGCAGCACTTCCAGGGAGGGCCCAGGAGGTCCTGGCTGTGAGCCAGAGGGCCTCGCTCAGGCAGGAGCCCAGGAGGCTGGGGAGCCCCTGGAGGAGGGGCT